ATGCGGCACCTCCTGTGTACATCCGCCCGGGCGCGGCTGAACCAGTTCGCCCCGACGACCAGACCGATAGGACCTTGGCCGAGCTCATTGGCGAGCCCACTCCGGCAGAGCACCTGAGGGTGACAGCGGATGGGGACGATGCTTCGCACAGGGCTATCATGGCTCAGCAGCTGGACCCTGCCCTTAGCATGAACGAGCAAGACCGGCGACGACACTGGCTAGACCTCGACCCGGACATCCGCAAGGGACTTCGCCAACTTCACGTGCAGTTCGGGCACCCCACGAACACAACACTTCAGCGGATTCTTCGCCGCCAGGGTGCCCGCCCCGAAGCCATCAGGGGCGTTGACTTCATGTCATGTGACGCCTGCGGAGAAACTTTGAGGAGAAAGCGCCCAAAGCCTGTGCGCCTGCCTGGCAAGTACGAGTTCAACGCCCACCTCCAGGCCGACGTTCTCTACTGCAAGGACATAAGGGGCCAGCTTTACTCCTTTCTCAACGTGGTTTGCGAGGCCACTGGGTTCCAGGTTGTCTCCTGTATGGGACAGTCACAGGGACCGCCCGCGACTCGGGCCGTGCTGCGGCACTTCCTCACCTCATGGTCTGCCTGGGCCGGCCTGCCTTCCAGCCTCCAGGTGGATCGCGGCAAGGAATTCATGGCCCACTTCGCCGATTACTTGAAGACCTTCGGCGTCGAGCAAGAGGCCATGCCTTTGGAAGCCCCTTGGAAGAACGGCAAAGTCGAGAGAGCAGGCGGGCTGTGGAAGGAAGTTTTTCAGAAGACCGTCGTCGAGATGCAGCTCGCCGGCCTCCAGGACATGATCGTGGCAGCCTCCATCGTCACCCAGACCAGGAACGCCTTCCCTCGGACTTCGGGATATTCCCCGAACCAGTGGGTCTTGGGGCGGCCCGAGGTGCGGCTCCCTGGCAGCCTGCTGTTGGAGCCCGAAGCCGAAAGACTTGAGGTTCTAGAGGCAGCCGAGGACCCAAGCTCAGCCATGGCAAAGAACCTCGGCATCCGTGAGGCAGCCAGAGTCGCCCAGGTCCGTTTGGACACCGACGGCCGAGTTCGACGAGCACTACTACACCAGAGCACGCCCACGAGAGGTCCTTTTCCCGTGGGGAGCTACGTTTACTTCTACAGGGCCCAGGCACCTGCTGGAACAGGCCGGGCCTACCGATGGCATGGCCCCGCTCGGGTCATAGGAGTCGAACTTCGGAATTCTCGCCGTCTTGCTGACCCAGAGCCTTCCACCGATGGAGGCCAACCGCACTCGTATTGGCTAAGGTACGGTGCGAGTGTGGTGCTTGTCACCGGCGAGCAGCTCAGGTTCGCCTCGGAAGATGAACTACTTGCGGCACACGCTGTTCCCCAGGAGCTTTTGTCTCCAACCTACGCCCGAGGTGCGCGAGGCTTTGTGGACCTACGTGCCCAGCCTGCCGAAGCTCTGCCTCCACCACCTGAAGAAGCACAACCGAGCACTACGAGAAGACGTTTGACTTCCACCTTGCCCGTGGCTACGACGTCTTCGGTGGTGATTCCCGGGACACAGATTGCAGTGACCCCGGACCTTCTTCCTCCAGTTCCTGAAGGTGACGAAGGTGGACTACTTGACGGGCCGGGCCAAGGAAACGAAGCTCAGCCAGAACCACCGCAGAATCTCAGGACGGGCGAAGGGGTGACCAGTGATGGGACAGTGCACCAGGCAATAGGAGACGAAGCTCAACCAGAACCAGCGCAGAATCTCAGGACGGGCGAAGGGGTCGTTTTAGATATAGACATGGACAGGCAACCGTCTCACATGTCTACAGAACCGGAGCCACAGCCTACTCCACGACTTGTTCCTTCACTCGGTCCTGTACCAGCTCCTAGGCCACTTGCTGCTCCTTTCCAAGATCCTGACCGTCTTGATGGGTACTCTCCTTTGAGGCCAAGAGGGACGAGCTCAAGGCCCGAGCAACCTTACCTGGCTGAAGACTTCGCCTGGCTCGAGCCACCGTTGACCCAGACGATCAGGGAGCTACGCCTCAAGCGCATGACCGACGACGGCGCCGAGGAGTACGAGCCGGACACGGAAGAGGAGACCGAGACTACGCCTTGGGACCTCACGCCGGCCGACGTCTTCCTCACCGGCAAGGCCGTCCGCTCAGAGATCAAGTTGAAGAACCTCTCCCCGCAGGAGCGCGAGCTCTACACCCACGCCATGGAGAAGGAGTGGAGTTCTTGGGAGAAGTTCAACGCTGTTGAGGTTTTGTCCCCCGACCAGGTGGCCCAGCTTCCCAGCGACGTGAAGATCATAGGCACCAGGTGGGTTCACACCGACAAGAACCAAAAGCAGCGACTACTTGCACTACACCTCCGCGGCAAGACGGGCAAGACAAAGGAACAGGTCGAGAAGGAGTACCCTCTCTCAGCCAAGAGCCGCCTGGTGGTGCAAGGCCACCAAGAGGACCCCAAGGACATACGTTCGGATAGTCCTACGGCCTCCCTCCTTGCCTTCAACCTTGTGTGTGCCGTGGCTGTGATTCAAGGCTGGGAGGTTCTGGCAAGCGACGCCTCTACGGCCTACCTTCAATCCCAAGGGATAAGCCGACTGCTGATCTTGAGGCCTCCACGACCACCACCGCCGGGACTCAGTCCTAACGACCTCTTGAGGGCCAAGGGATCCATCTACGGTACCCGTGACGCTGGCCGCTCATGGTGGAAGAAGCTCTACGCCACCCTCAGAAAGCACGGATGGCGCATGAGCTCGGTCGAGGCCGCGCTCTTCATACTCTCCGAGGGCAACAAGCTACTGGGGATTCTTATATCCCACGTGGACGACCTCTTCAGTGCTGGAGAGGGCAAGAGGTACAACGAGACCCTCAACGAGATGGAGACCGAGCTCCACCTCACGGTCAAACGTGGAACCTTTAGGTTTTGTGGCAAGAATATCCTGCAAAAGGGTGGCGAGATCTTCATCGACCAGATGGACGCCATCGAGGGCATCGACTATGTGCTGCTGCCCACCGACCGCAGGAAGGCCATGAACAGCCCCCTCACAGAGAGTGAGAAGACTGCCTTTCGAGGACTCATCGGCCAAATGGGATGGGTCGTGAGACAAAGCCGCCCCGACCTCATGGTGAACGTTAGCATTGCTGCCCAGTCTATGGGAGCCCCGCGGGTACAAGACGTGGTCCGCCTCAACAAGGCCGTGAAGATGCTCAAGGACACGTCCAGTGCCAAGTGGTGCTTCAGGAAGGAAGGCTTCGAGCTGAGCGAGGCCATAGCCTTCACCTTCGCCGACAGCAGCTTCGCCAACCTCGAGGGTGCAAAGTCCCAGTGCGGGTTCGTGACGGGCCTGACCAGCAAGGAGATCTACGGAGGAGGGCCCACCAGGATCTACATCCTTGAGGCTTTCTCAGGGAGTATCAAGAGGGTTTGTCGCAGCACCCTCGCGGCAGAGGCCAACGGCTTCCTCACCGGCACAGAAGCAGCCGAGTACGTCCGGATGCTGCTGATGGAGCTCACGTTCCCGGCCGCCTCCATCCGCGACCTGGACCAGCACTACCTGAAGGAGAAGGTCGCCTGCTTTACGGACGCTCGGAGCTTAGAGCAAACCTTGAACAAGGACGCGGGCCAGCCAGCAGACAAGAGAGTGCGAATTCTCATCGCACAGATCCGAGAGATGATCGGCGAGAACACCTTCCAGGACGACGCCCCCGGCTACGCCACTTGGGTGGACACCTCTCAGATGCTGGCTGACGTTTTGACGAAAGAGGGCTGTGACCGTGCCCCTCTGTTGACTGCTCTCGCCGAAGGCGTGTGGCAGCTAGAAGCTTCCCAGGCGGCTAAGGAGAAAAAGCTTCTTATCCAAGCCGGGAGGCACTCAAGGAAGGCCGCCCAGCGTAGAGCCGAGGACGGGTGTAAATCTGGAGCCCTTCCGGTAGCAGAGCTGTGAGCGAGACTTGTGCCGGCACTGCTGCGGCTCAACACCAGGGCGCCCTTAGGACAAAAGGATTGCTGCCGTCCTCCTTGTGCGCTGCCACAGGGTTTTTGATGGTAAGCGGAGCCTGCTGAGTGCAGGTGACCTCCGCTGGCTTGCTCTTCGTGGCAAGCCGCTCCGAGCCCAATACTCAGGTCGATTACCTCTCGGCCGACCGCTTTTCTGCGCCCGCCGTTGTGCCGGTGCCCTCCGTTTTCCCTACAGCTGCGGCTCGGCGCCTCCTTTGTGATCGCGCCGCCTCAGCTACAGTTTTTCAATGGCCAAGCTGGACGTGGACCGCTATGGTGTTCCACAGTACGGTGGCGAGCCGGAGCTCTACGAGGAGTACCAGGAAAGAGCTTGGGATCTATGGTTCGGCCGGGACGGGAACGAGCAGACCCAAGCAGCGACCCCGATACACCTCCGCTCTGGACTTGTTGGCACGGCCTACGCTGCCGTAAGGAAGCTTGACCACGCGAGTTTGATTACCAAGGGCACCGACGGCAAGCCCAACGAGAAAGGACTGAGGCTCCTCCTGCAGACCCTCCGCGACAACATCGAGCAGGAGGCCCCGGTCAAGACCAACGAGCTTTTCTTCATCGCCTTCTACAGCCCCCACGTGTGGCGCCTCCAGTCCGAGACAATGCAGCAGTACATTGTGAGGCGCGAGCAGGACTTCAAGAGACTGGAGGAGGTCCTTGCCGGGGCTAAGATACCGGACCACGTCCGGGCAATGATGCTGCTGGCCTTTGGTGGGCTGGATCCCCGGGAGCAGCTGAATGTGCTGAGCTCTGTGAATAACGAGTACGACTTCAAGAAGATCGCGCACGCGCTCCGGATCCAGTACCCCACCTGCAGCGGCAAGCCTGTGCACCGCCGCGACTACCTTGGATGTGGCAGACAGCAGCCACCTCCCGCTGCGACGGCGAAGTTCAGGCCGAGGCCTTTCACGACGAGGCCGCCGAAGGGCAAGGGCCGTGGCTATGTGCTGGCTGTGCAGGACGAGCCCGCGGACCCCGAGGACCAGGAGGCCTACGTCGAGGAGGAAGGCCAGGAGTACGAGGACGATGCCTACGAGGCCCACGGTTACTCGGACGACGAGGTCCTGGAGAATATGATTCAGGACTACGAGGACCACGCCGACGACCAGGAGCTGGCCGAAGCCTATGCCACCATCCTTCAGAAGAGGAAGCAAGCGCCTGGCGGCGGCAAGGGTCCCAGCCAGCCGCAGAGTTTCCCGTTCAAGGCAAAGGGCGAGGTTGTTCTGGACCAGCAGGCGAAGGAGCAAAGGCGCAACGCGGTGAAGTTCTTGAAGTCGGTCACCCCGTGCTCCGCCTGCGGCAAGAAGGGGCACTGGGCTGGAGACCAGGAGTGCCCCCAGGCAAGCCGAAAGACCGGAAAAGGGGGCGCATCTCCCAAGAAGAAGGGGGCGAACAAAAGACCATCGCCTTCGGCCTTCTTCGTGGACAAGACCGCGACCGCGCACGACGACGAGGAGGAAGCCGATGCCTTCATGGTGACAGTGACCTCCGAGCCCGGCTCCCCCTCGCCTTCCTTCGGCGTCTTCGGCAACCACTTCGAGATGGACAGCGACGACCCAGAGTCCTTTATGACCCTTCGCGCCGAGAACCTCTGCCAGCACTCCTCCTACAAAGGCGGCGACGAGAAGAAGTACCACAGGTCTGCCAATGGACACTCCCGGCAGATAATGTGTAAGGAGCCCGAGTGCGACAAGCCAGTCATACAGGCCAACCGGCGCGAGCCCGCACGGCTCTGGGCCTTCCTCGTGCAGATCGCCTTGTGTACTTTGTGGGGCCGCCGTGCTCGGTCGAGGGCCCTCTTCCAGCGAGTTACCATGGTGCGGGGCGAGGCCCAGGAAGAGCGAGAACGAGAACTTGATGAACTTCGCGGCCGCCGCTCTACCGAAGACCCTCTCGCGAGACCAGCCGTTGACGATGGAGGTGGCGCAGGG